GCATAATGGCTGTCTCTACTGATTTTCCCTTGATGTATCCATGCTGAATATTATTAATTATTTTACACTTATTTAGGAAGTTCATCAATCGGTCGCACATCGCCATTTCAAACAATTTTGAAAAGGCTGGTAATATACTAATTGATCTAAAATTTTCTAACAACTCACAATCACCTTTTTTGTGTACAGGAGAAATTACACAATCCTATACACAATCACAATCCTATAATTTACAATCAAATGAGTCCAATTGTGACATTTTTGTGTTTGTAGAAAAAAAGTTCTTACAAGGATTAAAATATATAATAGTTTATAAAACTTGCATTATAATTTTTTTTTAAATATTAAAAAAAATGTTTGACATTGTTATAGTGTTTGATAAGACTGTTTTAAAAATATTTTAAAAGGGATTTTTTAAGCTCTTCATAATGTTTATATAGTCCCTGTATACGATCTTCAATTTCGGCATCAAAAAACAGTTTTAATAAAGTTAGATACAAATTATATAAAGACTTTGTAATCTGAAACATAAAGTAGTTTTTCAATGCAAAGATAAATGCTCTAATAAAATCAGTGAAAATTATTTTATTGCCTTCCTACAAAGGCATCATTTATTCATAATTCAGAGAAAAATACAAGTAGTTTTTTTCTTCACAATTTGTGCTCAATATAAAATTGTAAAGGTGACATTTAGTTTTTGGTTTTCTACTTTCCCATTTCTATTCAAAAAATGTGGGTTACTTCCAGTGACGGATCCAGAAAATCATTTTGGGCGGGGCACAGTTTACAACCCAGAGTATAATAATAATAAATGAATTCAGTTCAGCGCTAAAGTGGGTTGAATCCTACCTATCAGATCGCCTTCAATCTGTAGAAATAAAACGAAATGGAAGAGTCTATAAATCCGAAACCCTGCCCATAGACGTGGGATTCCGCAGGAGAGCATTGCCGGCCCTCTTTTGTTCGACATTTATTTGAACGACTTATGTAATCTAAACCTAAACCAACGTCAGTTCAAAACTATTTTTGCAGATGACACAAGTCTGTTATCAGGTGGTGTAACCTTCTCAGAGATGATGGTGAATAGTACAGATCTATTCAACAAAACTAAGGACTGGTCAATAAAAATAAACTTGTACTAAATGAATTGAAGACACATGTTATTTTTTTAGAACAAACCAAGACAAAATTGATTATCCAGTTAGGGTGGACCTTCAAAACTCTTCTTTTGAACTGTCACACAACACCAAATTTTTAGGAATCCACATTGACGAGGACATGAATTGGTCTTTCATATTGCTAACCTCGCAAACAAACTAAGAGGAATATCTTATGGAATTATAGTTACATCAAAATATCTGCACAACGAGGCTACAAAAACAATATACACGGCTAACTTTCAAATCAGTTGCTCGATACAGAATTATTTTTTGGGGTAGCAATCGAAATATCGAGAAAATCTTCATAGTTCGAAAAAGAGAATAATAAGAGGAATCAACAACTTGAATTATAATGAAATTTGCAGAACAGTATTCAAATCCACCAATATAATAACAATCTACGCGATTTATATCTATGAATGCCTAATGTTCATTTATAAAAATTCACACCATTTACCAATTTGATAAATCTAATCTTTAAATCAGGTAATTTTCCTAACATCTTCAAATATTCAAAAGTGATACCTCTCCACAAGAAAGGTAAAAAAGAGATTATCGATAACTACAGACCTATTTCTATTACAAGTATCTTTTCAAAAATCATTGAAAAATTAATCAAGAAAAGACTCACCAAATATTACGAAATCAACAATTTTTTTTGCGGTTATCAATTTGGTTTTCGTGAAAACTGCTCTACCACCGATGCTACTATGAGTGTTGTCAGTGGCATAGTTGAGGGACTTGAGTCCGGGAAGGTTGTGAAGGTCACACTATTGGTCACATTATGGTGTAAGAGGTACTCCTTTGGGTTTGATTGAAACTTACCTGAATAATCGTTTCCAGAGAGTTATAACAATACATTTTCTGAGCTGAGGTCGTTTGACCTAGGTGTACCGCAGGGATCGGTTTTTGGTCCGCTTTTGTTCGTTATTTACATCAATGATTTTTACAACTATATGAAGCCATGTCACAGTGCACTATTTGCTGACGATACATTCTTGATATACTCTTCTAGAAATTATTCAGCTCTTGTTGACGAGTCTATGGAAATCCAAGAAAAAGCGGAGCACTGATTCAGTGTCAACAAACTCATGATGAATAAGGAAAAATCACAAAACATGATTGTTTCTATGGCTCTGCCATTACCTGAATTCCAGTGTGTCATATTATTGGGTTTTACTCTGGACAATAGGCTAAATTGGTCAAGCCACATTTCAAGTTTGAAAAGTAAGCTATCGAGTGCCTTATTTTTACTTAGACAGCTGAAAACAATAACACATTTCATTACGTTGAAAATAGTATTTTGCTCGCACATACATTCTCACATTTCTTACGGTATTCTACTTTGGGGAAATTCTCCCAATGCATTTTTATATTACAGAAAAAAGCTCTGAGAATTCTTGCTGGAATTGGTTTTAGGGATTCTTGCCGTGAATCATTCATCACTCATGAAATTATGTCGGTGCCTTCAATGTATGTTTACTCAAGGTTATTAGATATTCACAAAAGGGCCCCCTTGTTTCCCAAGCAATCCAGTTTACACAATCATGATAAACATAACAGCAATTTTATTAGACCTCAACGTTTCAGGCTGATGAAATCACAAAAAAACTCCTACGATTTTGAATTGTATAATGTATTTCCTGCCAATATTAAAAATATGAATATGTTTTGTTTTAAAAAAGTTATAAAAAAATATTTTATTTCACTTCAGAATATTTAGAACATGTGCGTAGACACACTTTTGACGCAAGGAAGATGCTCGCCGAACCTCCACACTTAATTTGTTAATATGTTATAATGTAAACTTGTTACAAATTTTTACTGTTCATTTTATTTTATAGAAAACTTTGTACCTTGCATCTATTTGTTTTTCTGATTTATCATGTATTTTATACATAACATGATCAAATAAATATATCTATCATCTCAAAACGAACTAAGAAAATTGGAGTTTTCAACTTAATGATTTGAACACATATCTCACTGTAACATTCATTTAAAACTATAATAAAAAAATCTGAACCTCCTTGTTTGAAGCCATTTCGTTCTATGTTACGGACCTTTTGCAATAAAAGTTTGTAATATACTCTGAAATAAAGCTTTTTATTATTCTTATNCTATAGCTAGCTTCCCGATACGACCTCTGTAGGAAATATCGGAAATACGATAAAAAGTGTGTTAGATATTTGACGTTTGAAAGCCTATCTGTCGAACGTATCCATAGATATTAAATAAAAATATATAATACCTATGATTGTTATCTTTATAGCACTCATTTCCTGTCTTGACCAAAATTATTTTGAATTCAATAATGAGATGGACTAATAGTGGGGACTTTGTACGTTGGTTTCACCCTTTTTCCTATTGTTGACAAACTGTACTGCCAAATTATTCATTTATAGTTTATATTTAGTATAAGTATGTATCTATATTATATTTCATATGTAAAAAGGGGAAAACCCGTGTATCTGTTTAAAAAAATCTGTTTAAAATCTGTTTTTCCGTTAATCAGCTGTCGCCTTCATACGAACGACAACTCTCAAAAGTTGAGAAACTTGTGCGAGTTAAGGACTAACGAGGTCCTACCTTTTAACGTGTGATTCCTAAGACGATGTATAATGAAATAAAAAGATGTATGGAGCTACAAAAACACATGACATCAAAACGGCCAAAACTTTTAAAACAACGTAATAAATACAGCATTGAAGTCAGTTTATTTTTTTTTTTTCACCAGAATCATTTTCGTGTGTTTTTCCTTTAAAATTTGCCTTTTTTGTGTTGAAATCAAATTATCCGGATAATTGATTACCCAGACTAAAGTTTGTCCCATTTGATTGGGATAATTGGAGTTCTACAGTAGTTCCAATGAATCAGTACCATAGAAAAGTTGCAGATGGTAGATGACAATGAAAATATCACCCTCAAATTTCTTTAGAAATATTTTCAAATTTCAGAATGAAAATGGTATAGCTGTCGATGATCGTGTGGCTTTAGCTTGTTTATACTTACCAGATGAAAAACTATTAGAGTACGTTAAAAGGTTGTCAGATGAATTGTGTAACGAGGGGAATTTGGATGGATTGTTGGTTACTGGTAATATTTTAATTTAAGCCGGTTGCTCATTGCAAGTAGAATTGAATCAGTTTCATATATTTTGCAGGAAATAGTTCTGATGGTTTGAAACTTCTACAAAAGTACTTGGACTGTACAGCAGACATTCAGTCTACAACATTAATTGCAACGAGAGCATTTCATGATGATCTTGGGTCAGAGCGTGTCAAAAATTGGATATTACAGTAAGTAATAGGGACAGGAATCCTGGTAACTTTGTTAATATTGCAAATAAGAAATAGGTTAATTTGGAAAACTTTTTACACTCATCCAGATGCAAGAAATAAAAAATCAATCAAGCGTTGTGTTTTCGACTTAACATTTTGTAAAATAGAAACCTCTGTATATTATAGTTTCTTCTAATACATATGAAACCCTAAATGCCAAAATTGTTAAACAAATATTTGAAACTTCTAGACATGCTTTATTGAATATTATCAACACTTTGCTTCAAAAGGTTGAATAAATCCTAATGTCCCAACCTTATTTGGCCCCTTACGAAACTGAATATATCCTAATACATTTCGTTCAAGATCTGCTAAAAATTAATACTATTATTCCAATTCTTAAGGTGAATTAAACTATCAGAGCGGAGGAATTTAGGCCTATTATATTTTTGTATACATGTAGCACTTTCTAATTGAATAATTAAACCTGAAAATTTTTAGTTGTCTGAACGGATCGCATTTTGCAATNAATCCACATGCTTTCATCGTTAATCTCTCATCGCTCCTAGAAGGGATATTCTTTCGTTTGTTTACGCTATGACATTTATTATTGTAGTTATCAAGATTTGCTGAACAGACCGAAAATGTTCGAACAGAGAGCCGATTTTGATATCATGCTTGCATCGTTCAAACCCAACGAAAGACCACCTCAACAAGTATACGTATCCTGCAATTTTTGTGGAAAGAGTATTTCAGCTTATATAGCGGGACAGGATCGAAGTAGACTTCACAAAAGTTCATCTAGTAAGACGAAAGTAAGTATAATATTTGTACTGGGATCATTTCATTGTGTGATTTCTACATATTGAACAGTTTACAAAGCCACCACTTATTGTGTCACTAATAGTCTCACTGCATAGTGAAACATGTGTGTCAGTTTTGTAAATTATTTACGAGGGTGGTCTGAAAAGTTTGTGGCGTCAACATGAAGATAACAGCACTCGTAAATAAAAGCTAGTGAATTTCATTGTTCATCTGTTGACAGTTACTAACCAAAGTTTCAGCTATTTTGGACGCGCAGTTGTTATGTACCAGTCGTTTGAGTTATTGGTCTCAGAAGTTGAGAAACTTGTGCGAGCTAAGGACTAACGAGGGCTTACCTTTTAACATGTGATTCCTAACACGGTTGCAGAATCATCCCAGCTTCAGCCAGATAAATTCTCTCAAGAAAAATATCTGGTCGAGGCGGGAATCGAACCCACGGCCTTCCTATCGAGAGTCGGGCGCACTACCACGGCGGCCAATTCCACAGACATAACAAACATATTACTCACCAGTTGTTGCAATGAGCAACCTCTACAATCAACTTTGTGAAAATCTCGACATTTATTATGAACCTATTGGTCAAGTTAAGAACCATGTTAAAAAACTTCTACACTCTAATCAAAATACATGAGCCTAACTTGAAAGTTAGTCTACTATGTGAGCTTATTACTACTACTGTACTACAGCTGAATTATGTTTTTTGTAATTCACCTGAACTATGTTTTTACTTATTAGCTCTACGTCTGACCTATGTTTTTTTTTCAATTACTCTCCTAGCTTGCTGCACACAAATTTTCACCTAATTTTTTGCTTAACTCTCCTAAATGTTTCCTTCATTTTATTATACAGTGTGACCCATTTTTAATGGAAACACCCCCCTAAAATTTGAAGTTGTAAACCGATTTTAATATTTTTTTTTTTGAAACGTCAAGTACTAAAAGGTATACCTTGGGACAACTTTTGAAATGTTTATTAAAGTTACAGGGATACTACGATATTTTTTCTTAGTCGAATATCGGAATTTTTTATTAGCGAATTTTTATTGAAAAAATCACCACGCCACTGGATTTAGAGTGCCTCTAAACAAATGTGACCAAAATTTAATGAAAAAATATTCATTATTAACAAAGTTATGACAACTCAAAAATTCTAAAACTCACACAGCTAACAGTCACAAAAACACCCTATATCAACAGATATAGTTACGAGAATTTTTTTTTATGATTTCAACAATAAAGTGCCGCCAGATGAAAAAAAAACAAATAGCGTAAATATTTTTAATGAAAATAACGGAATTACATTCATAGTAAAATTAATTGCATAATTTAATTGGGTTCAATTTAATTTAATTCAATTCAGGCAGATTCACTGTTTACCGAAGAGGTTGGCGTTCGTTTTAATTTTAAACGCAGACGGAGGTAGTAATTTCAATTCATCAGGATATGAGTTGTACTCAGTTACAGCGCTACAAGAGAAATAACGTTCGAAAAAAGATAGAAAGTGACGCGGGAGGATGAGCATATTGATGTTAATAAGGTTTCGTAGATTCATTTTTGAGTAGAGGTGATCTGGACATTGTTTTTTCGCTCGATCCGAGCTAGGAATCGCACGCTAAAAGGTAAGACCTCGACAATCCTACCTCGTACATCTCTCAACTTCCAAGAGTTGTCGTTTGAAAGGGAGCGACAGCTGGTTGACGTAAAAACATGTTTCAACAGATTGCACCAAGTTGATTTTCGTTCGAGAACCTTCATAAAAAATAACTTCGTTAGATGCCTCTTCTTATATTTAAGATTTATTCAGAATAAGTTTGTTACGTCAACACCAAGAACTGCATTTGTCTACTAAGGTATTCATTTTTTCTGATAATTGTTAATCGTGTTTGGGACACGGTAATTTCGGTGTCATGAGCAAATATAATATTGGGACATTCAGATAAGAATTCTGACAAGCCATTTATGAAGTTGATGAATAAAAGCGATCCTAGGTCAGAGCCTTGAAGCATTCCCAGTATAATGTTTTTACGACTTGATTTTCCCCGCTATTAAACTGTGATTTTTTTTTAGAATAAAGTGAATAGAATGGAATGAAAAATAATTTGAACAAGCACTTATTATTCTGTATTGTTCACATATAGAATATTCTGAATGAAAAAAATAAGTTAGGAAAAGCTCTTCACAATTTCGACCCTATTTAAACTTTTTCCGTCACAAGTTTCTGCACAAAAAAAATGTTCACTTCTTGTAGTATTCAGCTACAGCAAATGTATGAAAAAGAAACAATCGAAATGTGCAAGTGATGTTAAAATAAATGAATAGAATCCAGTGAAAAAAACTTTTACATTTTCCCAATATGTATTAGGTTGTCTCAAAAGTTTTGTCCATTTTATGAGTCTACGGTAGGTCGGTAGTCGGGCGGTTCGACGTGGGTGCTTTACTTATTCACTCATTCGACCGATGTGTGAGTCGGTGGTTCAAGCCGCAGGCGATCGATCTTAACTTGCTATCGTCCAATCCATGTTAGGAATCAAACGTTAAAAAGTGAGACCTTTAGTCGTTAGTTCGCACAAGTTTCGACTTCTAAGGGTTATCGTTCGTAGGAGTGCGATAGCTGGTTAACGGAAAAAACATATTTTTTTTGTCATTTGAATCAGAGCACTTTCGCCAACGTAACACGAGTTGATTCATTCCGTCAGCATCGAAATTGTGTGCTCGGGTTTCGATGAAGTCGACGAAGACAGTTTTTGCCTTGTCCTGATTGGCGAAGGTTCTACCAGACGGTGATTGATAAAACGTATGATGGGCGTTGTTGTAGAGCAGGATCGGTTCTGTTGACCAGTGTTAGCTGCTGCAATTTTCGGTATATTTCGTCGGTTTCCCCCACAATAGGGCTCTGACCACCACCATACAGTAACCATCAGAGCAGCAGAGTCCTATTCTGAGGAAATCGACGAAATGTACCAAAAACTTCGTCAGCAGCGGCTGGTACAANATCACACGTTAAAAGGTAAGACCTCGTTAATCCTTAGCTCGCACAAGTTTCAACTTCTGAGGGTTGTCGTTCGTAGGGGTGCGACAGCTGGTTAACGGAAAAACAGATTTTAAACAGATTTAAACAGAACACAATTTTCTTCCTTTTCTTTCGTTGTTTTTATATTTTTCTACTGTTCCATCAAATCAAACTCCCCCCCTCCGAAATGGTTTTCTGGCTTCGGCCTTGAATCCTCGTCCTGGAATACTGTAGGTCGACCATTTCGGGGCTCATTTTCGAGGCTAAAATCTCCAGAATGAAACTTTGCGAACCAACGTCGAACAGTGTGTCATCAACACCATCATTACCAAATGCCTGTTTAATTTTTTGGAAGCGCTTCAATTCAAGTTGGATTCGTTGATGAAAATTGGTATTGGATCAATGTATAACACGACACAATGGAATAAACTTTTGAAACAATCTAATATTTTGAGCTGATTTACTGATGAATAAGAAGTATTTCTTGTGGTCCCACAAGGTTCCGTTTTGGGACCGGTGTTATTTCTCATTTATGTCAATGACAGTCTATGTTGACATAAGTGGTAAATTCACATGTTTTGCTGACGACACCACTATCCTCTGGCATAGCAGTACCGCCCCAAATTCACTTGATCAAATCATCGTCGCCATAAGAAGGGTGAAAGAGCGATTCCAATCTTTTATCATTCAACATCGACAAAACAAATGTGGTCACGTTTAGATGTAACATATAGGGGAAGTACACTTGAAAAATGTAAAAATGTAAAAATTTGGAGAAACAAATTTATAGGGCTCTTCATCTCATCACATCAACAACCGATGAAAATGGGTAGAATTTGAAGAAAATTGTTATGGAGAATCATCGAATCACTATTAGAGAAGTTGTTGAGAATGTCTGCATATTGATTGGCTCATGCCATGCAATTTTTTCAGAAAGTTTGGGCATGAAATGTGTGGCAGAGAAGCTCGTTCCAAAATTTCTTAAAACTGGTGACGAATCATGGGTATATGGTAATGACATCGAAACCAAAGTCCAATCGTCCCAATGGAAGATCCCAGGACAGCCAAGACCAAAAAAAGCACGCCAAGTTCGATCAAATGTCGAGGTCAATAAGGAGTATTATCTAGAAGTTATGTTGCTGCTTGCGAGAAACAATACGAAGAAAACGTCCGGTATCGTGAAAAAACAACACCGTAATCGTCCTCAGCCACCGTATTTACCAGATTTGGCCAACTGCGACTTTTTCTGTTCCCAAAATTGAAGTGATCCATGAAAGGGCGACGTTTAGCGACGATTGAGGAGATAAAAACCGACTTGCCGAGAGAGCTCAAATATGTACCAAATAGTGCTTCATGGATTGGAAAAACCGCTGGCTCAAGGGGGATTACTTTGAATGGGATTTTTTGAGAAAAATGAAAATGTACCTTATTTTTTGAACAGACCTCGTATATTAAGGACCTTCATTGTATAACACTTTAATTTCAGGGAACATCAAGAATGTCCAGTGAGTGGATGTACGTGCAGATGTGCTTCTATAGATTCGATTGCTGCCGTATAGAAGGTTTTTATTTCTACACGAAATATAAATATTTTGTATTTTAAAATTATGATAATATGTATCACTTGTATCACTTGAATNAAATAAACGGTACAGTGCGGCTTTATAGAAATGATATTAATGCAGTTCTCGATTACTTTTTACGGTATATTCAAATTAAGAACTATTATGTTAATATTACTCATCCAAATTAGTGATGATGGCAGGTGTTGAACTTCAATTATTTTAGGTCCATTTATGGGCTCTATTTTCGTAATTTAATTTGAATGCGTGAGGCTGAACATATAATTTTGGAGCTTTCTAAATTGTGCTCAATGAGAGTATTAAAGCAGTTGAAACCGAAATCAAGGTGTGAAACACATGTGGACGTAGCATTTGAATTTATAATGACGATTACGTGGTTTACTATAATATGAAAAATAGCTATATTAAACCTATATTGAAATCAGGCAAAAGGGAAACTGTTACAAATTATAGAGGAATTTGCATTCAACATGGTTTCTGTTCAGGTCGATCTACCATGACAATTCTTATAACATATGAACACAATTTGTTACATGCATTGGAGAAAGGTTTTCAAATAGATTCTATATATACCGATTTCTCGAAGGTATTCGATAGTGTTAATCATTTGTTGTTGTTGGAAAAACTGAAAGCTCTAGGTTTTGGTACTGGTATACTAAAATAGATAAGAAGCTTCCTTACACAAAGTTTCAGTGTATTAGAATCGATAATCACATTTCTGAAACAATTTCTGTATCTCCCGGTGTGCCACAAGGATCACATTGTGGACCATTATTGTTCAATCTGTTTGTTAATGACATTGGAAATTGTTTAGGTTAGGTTAGGTCCAAAGTGAGTGGGTCTATTCGACCCTCCACCGCAACCCGCAAGGGTTTATTGTGGCTCACACCTATTCTCACTCGCCAAACCCAGCTTCTTAACGAAGCTGATTAGTTTGTATGGTGAATAGTCTTTCAGGTCAGATGATGAGATTACGGCTCTGCCAAACTCTAAAGACCTGATTCGGTCCCCAGCAGGGCAGGCACAAAGTATATGCTCTGTTAATGAGGTAGTCGGATAGTCAAGTTGCAAGATTCCCACCTTGATACCCACGACAACCTTCACATATGAGGGTTTTTGCATGTCAGCTACACCTGACGATGCCTTAGATTCAGCCATGCAGGGCTTTTTCGCCACTGGTTTTGGTGAGACCTCACTTGAGCGCAAACGTTTGCTAACCTACTCATGGGGGCTTAGTTCCCCCACCTGAGACAGATTCTGCGTACGCTGCAGCTCTCGCTCCTGAAATAAATTTACAGGGAGGTCAATTGGAGTTGTAAACTCGACATCCATCTCCTCTGTAGACTCGCTCCTGAACTAAATTTACAGAGAGGTCCGTTGGAGTCGTAAAGTCGACATCCATACCCTCTATAGACTTGCTCCTAAACTAAATTTACAGAGAGGTCCGTTGGAGTCGTAAACTCGACATCCATTCCCTCTGTAGACTCGCTCCTAAACTAAATTTACAGAGAGGTCCGTTGGAGTCGTAAACTCGACATCCATCTCCTCTGTAGACTCGCTCCTGAACTAAATTTACAGAGAGGTCCGTTGGAGTCGTAAACTCGACATCCATCTCCTCTGTAGACTCGCTTCTGATCTCAGTTTACAGGGAGGTCAGTTGGAGTCGTAAACTCGACATCCATCTCCTCTATAGACTCAGCGTCAGAAAAAATTTTTAAGTTTACTCTGTCCATAAAGGTCCCGCGAGTAGCTGGGAAAGAAGGTCAATCACGGCAGAGCCCCGTATTACTGTGACAAGGCGATGCTACGACGAGAGGGCGCCCGGTATCTCGAAGGTTCCGTAGAGACACTGATAGGCTCAATGTCATTCATCTTCTCGGCACGGATACACACACCTTAGGATTAAGACATCGTTGGGATGCCATTCAGTTAGGGAATAACAAAACCACAAGTGATTCTGTCATTCCCGTATCTAGCGGGGCTACGTGGAAGCAGGCATCCGATGGCCGGTTTGCTCAACCCCCACATCCAATGTCAATGCACTTGCCGAAAACAGCATGCACAGTGGTTCTTGCAGTGAAAGATGAACAAGGACAGCTAACCCGCCTGGAAATTGTTTACAGTTTACAGTTTTTACTATTTGCAGATGATTCGAAATCATATTCATCAGTTAATTATATTTTAGACAGTCAAATTCTTCAGAAGGAATGATAAGATATTATATGTGATTGGTCCTTAACAAGCAAATTGTACCTGAACATAAAGAAATGTCACGTCATCACTTTTTCCAAATCAAAAAATATCCTTCATTATAATGACTATGATATTGATGGAAAATTACTCGATAGGGTGAACGATATAAGAGACCATGGGATCACTTTAGATCAACAACTGAACTTCGAATTCCGTAGAGACAGCTGATAGGCTCAGTGTCATTCATCCTCTCGGCACGGATACACACACCTTAGGATTAAGCCATCGTTGGGATGCCATTCAGTTAGGGAATCTAGCGGGGCTACGTGGAAGCAGGCATCCGATGGCCGGTTTGCTCAACCCCCACATCCAATGTCAATGCACTCGCCGAAAACAGCATGCACAGTGGTTCATGCAGTGAAAGATGAACAAGGACAGCCAACCCGCCTGGAAATTGTTTACAGTTTACACAGTTTTTACTATTTGCAGATGATTCGAAATCATATTTATCAGTTAATTATATCTTAGACAGTCAAATTCTTCAGAAGGAATGATAAGATATTATATGTGATTGGTCCTTAACAAACAACTTATACCTGAACATAAAGAAATGTCACATCATCACTTTTTCCAAATCGAAAAATATCCTTTATTATTATGACTATGATATTGATGGAAAATTACTCGATAGGGTGAACGATATAAGAGACCATGGGATCACTTTAGATCAACAACTGAACTTCGAATTTGTAGAGAAAAATTGGCGAAAATCACTCTACATCATATAATAATAAGCTGAAAAGAGGCTACAACCTAATATATTCCTAATGAGGCACTAATCCAACTGAATTGATTGTTTATTTATATTGAAAAAAAATCTTGCCCATTTATCTCAAAGTTTCACTACTTTTATTGAGAGCTAGCAGTCATATTCGACTTAATCAATTCAGGGTCGTTTGGGGAAGCAACTGAGTTAAAATTTGTAAGTCACTGGTTCCAATATATTAACTGTTGAAAAATAAACATTTATCTGCTTTTTATAACAAATTATTGCCAAGTCCAATCAAGTCGACCAGCCGACAGTAATAGTTGTATTGTCATATCACTAAAACTTAGAGACGAGACGTCAATTAGCTGTGATTCCATCATGAATACTTTTACTATCGCTGAAATGGCTGACATGCATTTTATTTATGTTTAAAATATGTATTTCCGTTAACCAGCTATCGCACCCCTACGAACGACCCCTCAGAAGTAGAAACTTGTGCAAGCTAAGGACTAACGGGGTCTTACCTTTTAACGTGTGATTCCTAACACGGGTTGGATGATAGCAAGTGAAGATCGAGCATTCAGCCTGAGGCTTGAACCACCGACTCACACATCGGCCGATTGACTGAGTGAACAAAGCATCCACGTCGAACCGCCCGGCTACTTGGGATTTATGGATTACCAAATGGAAATGTGGGAGAAGCATGGGGAACTTTCAACACTTCGGTACAAAATATTACCAAAAATAGGTTAAGTCACATCAACTGAACATTCATAACAGAAAAATTCATATCAATATGAATGAGCATCGAGCTGCAATTCAAGAAGCAGTTCTACTACCAAGTATCTGCAAGATGTCAAGAGAAAATGTCATGCAAAAATTCTATACGAGTGTAATTTTGTCACCTCGACAAAAACCTTTTGTGACTAGATTTTCCTGACAGGTGACGGCAAATTTATTGTATTGAACGAGTGGGGGGGATTTAAAATGAGGTTTATGTGGGGTTCCAAGGCAGGTGTTCCGACCGCATGTATTAAAATTTGTTGTTAATATATTGATAGTTTCATGCAAGAATGACATATTCCAAAGTGGCGTGGAAGTTGGAGTCAAAAATTATCTTGAAAACTTGAATATCAATCATATTAGTCTTCTATAAGTAATCAAAACTTTTAGAAACCCCCTGGTACATCCCAAAGACATGATATTGAAGCTGATGAGAATAGGCCACAGAGAAGTAGACATTAAACAATAGTGAATTCATCAGTTGTCAGATAATATGCAGAATTTAGTTTGTTGTAAACGATTTGAATGTGATTGGTCGGTATCCAGTTTGTTAGCGTCCAACTGTAGGATTTTCATTGCATTGACATTCAGATAAGAATTCTGACAAGCCATTTATGAAGTTGATGAATAAAAGCGATCCTAGGTCAGAGCCTTGAAGCATTCCCAGTATAATGTTTTTACGACTTGATTTTCCCCGCTATTAAACTGTGATTTTTTTTAGAATAAAGTGAATAGAATGGAATGAAAAACAATTTGAACAAGCACTTATTATTCTGTATTGTTCACATATAGAATATTCTGAATGAAAAAAATAAGTTAGGAAAAGCTCTTCACAATTTCGACCCTATTTAAACTTTTTCCGTCACAAGTTTCTGCACAAAAAAAATGTTCACTTCTTGTAGTATTCAGCTACAGCAAATGTATGAAAAAGAAACAATCGAAATGTGCAAGTGATGTTAAAATAAATGAATAGAATCCAGTGAAAAAAACTTTTACATTTTCCCAATATGTATTAGGTTGTCTCAAAAGTTTTGTCCATTTTATGAGTCTACGGTAGGTCGGTAGTCGGGCGGTTCGACGTGGGTGCTTTACTTATTCACTCATTCGACCGATGTGTGAGTCGGTGGTTCAAGCCGCAGGCGATCGATCTTAACTTGCTATCGTCCAATCCATGTTAGGAATCAAACGTTAAAAAGTGAGACCTTTAGTCGTTAGTTCGCACAAGTTTCGACTTCTAAGGGTTATCGTTCGTAGGAGTGCGATAGCTGGTTAACGGAAAAAACATATTTTTTTTGTCATTTGAATCAGAGCACTTTCGCCAACGTAACACGAGTTGATTCATTCCGTCAGCATCGAAATTGTGTGCTCGGGTTTCGATGAAGTCGACGAAGACAGTTTTTGCCTTGTCCTGATTGGCGAAGGTTCTACCAGACGGTGATTGATAAAACGTATGATGGGCGTTGTTGTAGAGCAGGATCGGTTCTGTTGACCAGTGTTAGCTGCTGCAATTTTCGGTATATTTCGTCGGTTTCCCCCACAATAGGGCTCTGACCACCACCATACAGTAACCATCAGAGCAGCAGAGTCCTATTCTGAGGAAATCGACGAAATGTACCAAAAACTTCGTCAGCAGCGGCTGGTACAATGCCCGTCCGCAAGTTTATAAAATCACCGTTCGAAAATTAAACGAATTGAGTGTTCTGCCTCGCCCACCATGCTTCCCAGATCTCCTACCAACCGACTACCATCTTTTCAAGCACTTCGATTACTTTCTCGCCGGCAGAACCTTCGCCAATCAGGACCAGACAAAAACGGCCTTCGTCAACTTCATCCAATCTCGAGCACACAATTTTTATGCTGACAGAATCGATCAACTTGTGTTATGTTGGCAAAAGTTCACTGTCACATGTGACAATCCGATCCAAAAAAGATCATTTTTGTTACTTAAAAGACCTTGAAACGTGACAATTAATTACTGTCAATCGTTCAAATCGTGAGGCACCCACTTTTCGAGTCTTCTGACCTCTTCAGTATGTTTTAAACCATCAAAACCCGCAGCGGAAGTTAAGCGCAGTTCTTCCGCCATACCAAGCACCGTTTAAATTGGTCAGTCTCCACCAGGGTTCTCAAATCCTCGCAAGGCCGTAGCTAGGGGGGGATCAAGAGGGATTGATCCTCTTTGAAAGTTCTACAAGGAACGGCCATCTAAAAATTATATCAAATACAACGATTGACTTGTTTGAACATCCCAGGAGAATAACTCCAACCGCGGCAATGGAATTAATTACGGGTATGTCCCCTCTGGACCTGTACGTTGAGGAGGCTGCGTTAATGGCCATGTTACGATTGCACACGACTGGTATAAACCTCGAAGTAGGAATGGGTCAATTGAGGCTGAGCCTATGGCGAGAAGCGCTCACTGCGCAACCTCTGCTGCAGGCAACCAGTGATGCAACTGTACCCAGATTTGTGTTCAATAAACCCTACAAAATTCAAATGAAACAGAACACAGAGTCAGATGCTACAAATGCAATACGCATATATACAGACGGCTCAAAAACCAAAGAAGGCTCAGGATATGAAGTGTACTCCAAATCACTAAGCCTAAGGATTGAGTGGGGAATGGGAAAAATTACCAACGTGGTTCAAACAGAACTGACTGGTATCTCAATTGCCATAAAAGAAATAATCAGGAAAGGAATTTCTGGCAAAAAAATAACAATCTGCACCGATTGCAGACAAGCCCTATTAGCCTAGAACAGACGTGTTACCTCAGACCTAGTACTAGAGTACCACCAAGATTTAGCCAAAGCCTCGGTAGATAATAACATTATCCTGAGGTGGACGACAGGAGTAAAGGTAATTTATTTATTTACACAAGTGATTTACTGTTGTTTATTCTTGTATGTCCTACATATTTGTAAAAATAAATTGCTCTCTCTCTCTCTTCAATATGTTTTAAACCATCAAAACCCGCAGCGGAAGTTAAGCGCAGTTCTTCCGCCATACCAAGCACCGTTTAGATTGGTCAGTCTCCACCAGGGTCCTCAAATCCTCACAAGGCCGTAGCTAGGGGGGATCAAGGGGGATTGATCCCCCTTGAAAGTTCTACAAGCAACGGCCATCCAAAAATTATATCAAATAAGTACAACGATTGACTTGTTTGAACATGGCAATGTTCAAACAACCGCGGCAATGGAATTAATTACGGGTATGTCCCCTCTGGACCTATACGTTGAGGAGGCTGCGTTAATGGCCATGTTACGATTGCACACGACTGGTATAAACCTCGAAGTAGGAATGAGTCAATTGAGGCTGAGCCTATGGCGAGAAGCGCTCAGTGCGCAACCTCTGCTGCAGGCAACCAGTGATGCATGAAATAATCAAGAAAGGAATTTCTGGCAAAAAAATAACAATCTGCACTGATTGCAGACAAGCCCTTTTAGCCTAGAACAGACGGGATACCTCAGACCTAGTACTAGAGTACCACCAAGATTTAGCCAAAGCCTCGGTAGATAATAACATTATCCTGAGGTGGACGACAGGAGTAAAGGTAATCGCATTACCGACTCTTTAGCCAAGGAAGTGGCTGGACTAAGAATTTTAGGACCCAGTGGCAACTACAGCCTGATGACTTTGACAATTGTGAAACTAGGAGATGTTTCCTAGTGACCTGTCCACCTTCTTGGAAAGGACAGGCAAGTCCTTGGCAAAACGAACCAAGTGGTTGAAAGAGAATATTGAAAAAACTTCCGGGAAACACAATGGAAATACCTTACGGCAATGTACGTACAAACTTTCAAAGATCTTGGCAACACTACTTGTTTCCACATGTACCCCTGAAAGGACTTTCTCTTCTCTGAAACGCCTCAAAATTCATTTAAGAAACTCCACAAGCTAAAAACGACTAAACGGTTTGGCGTTAATGTCAATCCACCGTAGAATTGACATCGACACCAAGGAGGTAATTGATTTGTTTGCTGCAAAGAAAGCTAGAAAACTAAATTTGATTTTGTAGAAAGATGTTAATATTTCTGTAATGTTTTTCTAATAAATATATATGATCATGTAATTCCGTGTTAGGAATCACACGTTAAAAGGTAAGACCTCGTTAATCCTTAGCTCGCACAAGTTTCAACTTCTGAGGGTTGTCGTTCGTAGGGGTGCGACAGCTGGTTAACGGAAAAACAGATTTTAAACAGATTTAAACAGAACACAATTTTCTTCCTTTTCTTTCGTTGTTTTTATATTTTTCTACTGTTCCATCAAATCAAACTCCCCCCCTCCGAAATGGTTTTCTGGCTTCGGCCTTGAATCCTCGTCCTGGAATACTGTAGGTCGACCATTTCGGGGCTCATTTTCGAGGCTAAAATCTCCAGAATGAAACTTTGCGAACCAACGTCGAACAGTGTGTCATCAACACCATCATTACCAAATGCCTGTTTAATTTTTTGGAAGCGCTTCAATTCAAGTTGGATTCGTTGATGAAAATTGGTATTGGATCAATGTATAACACGACACAATGGAATAAACTTTTGAAACAATCTAATATTTTGAGCTGATTTACTGATGAATAAGAAGTATTTCTTGAACAAAACCAACACAATTTTTATTAATGAAAGTAAAAAAATGACACTAATATTTGAATATTAACTTCATTTTGTATTTCTGATGGTCCATCAGCAGAAGAGACAACCTGAAAACATTTGAATTTAATGCTATTTCATTTGCCCTTATCACAGAAAACAGACTCTTTCACAAGAANGAGGTTACGTACAGCGCCATCTGCCCGCGAATAGATCAAGCACTAATGTCGACATACCAAGGATGTTACGTACAGAGCCATCTGCTCGCGAATAGATCAAGCACTAATGTCGACATACCAAGGATGTTACGTACAGCGCCATCTGCCCGCGAATAGATCAAGCAATAATATCGATAATTCTGTCAATCCCGAGCTTGAGAATTACAAACAAACATACATACAAACAAATATACATACAGGTGAAGCTAATATAAAGCGTGTAAAAAATAGATGGTTGTGGATCATTTTTTATTTTAATGGCAGTACAAAGTATTCAAAAACTAAATCACAATAGAGTTTTTTGAAATTATTCTAGTCTACATGTCAAAATATCTGGTTAAACAAAGTGTGTAATACTTGTGTTTTTCAGATTTTGAGCTGCAATTTCAGCTTTCATTTATTGATTTTCAAACTGCAAATAGAAAAATATTTAATATTGTCACTGCTAACAGAACTAAATCTCAATGTATTATTGGTACATTTTTTGATAACCTAATACAAATTCTAATTATTCTCAAATGAAAGGTTCATACATTTTTTTGGTAAATAATATTGACTTCTAAGAGTGTGAAAAATGAAGATATCCTTATTTCAAGAAGTAAGAATGTTGCAAAACTAAGGTAGAAATGAGGTCGAAAGCAGTTTTATTTCTTTATTAGAAAGTCTCAATTATTTTCATTTAAATAGTATCTGATCTCTACATACTAATATACAATTAAATTATATACATTCGGTGAAAAAATTAAATGCCGATACTTTGATTTCCAACTATAATAACCTTTACGTAAATCTTCTCCTAGTTGATTGTGTCCAACTGTTTTATTAGCAACTTTAGATAAATTGGAATGACTGATTTTTTAACGAAATTATAATAATTATCTACTCGATGAATATTTTCTAACTCAAATAGAATACATAACTGGAAACATATGAGTATCTTTTGAAATTGTATTGCAAAATTAACTATATGAGGTGAAATTAAGGTGAAACAATATTATGAAACTATTTCAAGATCAATATTTTACAGACATTTTGGTAATTTCAACACTAACAAGCACCTTTTAACGAATAACACATACAAGCATAGTTTTCGCCTTAACCTAACATGATAAAAAAGAGTATTTTTTAAAATTATATTGCAAAATTAACTATATAAGGTGAAATTAAGGTGAAACAATATTATGAAACTATCTCAAGATCAATATTTTACAGACATTTTGGTAATTTCAACACTAACAAGCACCTTCTAACGAATAACACATACAAGCATAGTTTTCGCCTTAACCTAACATGATAAAAAAAAAATATTTTAGAAAAGAAACACTGAAACTGAAACACGTTTTGAACCAAATTTGGAAATCATCAGGGATTTGGGCTTCCCATTTTGTATAACTTACACATAAAGCGAATAAACAAGCGGAACATTTATACATAATTAAAGTATTTTACACAAACGCTTCTTCTTCTTATTTTTGTCTTTCCCTTTCCCATTATTTGTTTTATTTTCCTCGCTTTTTCTTGCGCGAATTTCTCTCATAAGATCGTAAAACACCTAGAAAATAATAATATATTATGAAAACTTATTGCGAACAGAAATGACAATAATGCTTCTAACAACCAACACTCATACCTTATTATAAGTAATATCCCCAAGTTCAAGGTTACTTTATTGGCTTTCATTTAAATCAGAACTTTGTTTATGTCAGTGGTACTCGTATATAAAATTAAAAAGTTGATGTCACCTAACCTCAATTGAAGATGTCTTTATTATAACAATGAAATTCATCATTATAATATAAGATCTTCAAATAGTTTACATATAAACTGAGCAAGATAGAATTCTTCGTAGATATTTTATTTTTTGAAATCAAAGAAGTCTTGAAGGCTACAAACATTTAAGTATAAATTGTCTAACTATTGAAAGTAATATTGATATTATTACGTAAGTACTATTATTTAAATGAATTGATGGCCGTAGCCGTTACTACGTGGTAGGAGAATATGATGAAAAATAGGAAATGAAACTTTCTTTTTTTTCAATACTTTTATTTGTAACTAACGTTACTGCAGTTGGTCCTATAAGGACATTTTCAAACTAATACAATAAACTTATATCAATATTCCTTTTAATTCTCAGTTTTCATTGTTATTTTAATGAGCGAGATATCTTGAAGAATCTAGTTTGTTATGTTGAATAACTTGAAAATTTAATATTCTGATTATTATTAACAAAATAATTATTTTACAATATTATTTGTAAGTTATTTATGACATTATCATTTTATATGTTTTGAATGTGAATTGTTGAAAAAATAAGGTGAATGTTCAAATTTCACGGGCTATGTACATTCTATTAGCAATTTTTTAATTTTTTTTTATGTTAGTAATGTTGATAATGATCACCTATGAACTATGTACATCGATAAACATCTATGAACATTGATTCAGTTGTCTCTCCAAAAGTTATGTGTCCACCTACCTTATCGACGTGTTCCCTAGTCTTTGCAGAAGTTTCCACATACGGAACACCCCATTGTTTTGCCCGATCACTTGCTTCTTGAAAGGAAACTTTTCTTCTCTCATCTAAATCACTTTTATTGCCTACTAATAAAAAGGGAATGTTCTCATCATTTTTTACCCTAAGTATTTGTTCCCTGGAAAATAAAAACGAATGATGACAATATAATAAACAAACAAAACATTGTTAAATAATGATAAGATTATTGTCGATATTTTGATTTCACTTCTCGATTGACAATCAGTTCTCTGACTGTTGTAGATGAAGCGATGACTTTGATGTTGATAAAGTTTACATTCTATTATGAAAAAGCAGAAGCCTATAAATCTTAACACAATATTGATCTTGAATTGAAGGGGTTATATTTTTAGAAGTGATTAATTTTTGGGAAAGAAAGTTTTTGGCTTTCTTACTTCCTTCCTTTCTTTGGAAGATTCCCTCATCCCCTTTTTTTGTATCAAGATGGAGTAGTAGAAAGCTAAAAACTTTCTTTCCCAAAAATATTGATCTTGTTTACNATAGGACCTGACCAGCGCAAACTTCGGTAAAAAAATAATGATAATAATAAATGATCTTCATTTTTATCTTGGCGGAGTTTAGCTTAAGCTATTCTACCACTCGACCAAGAATATTTTCATACATGTGTGTATAAATAGTCATACAGTAGCATAACATAAAACTAAGACCTTATCTAGGTTTTAACATATAAAACAAAAGTAAATGTAGGTGAATTAATAATTAAAAAAATAATAATGAAGTAAAATTAATTGGGTTCAAATTATTTGCATAATTTAATTGGGTTCAATTTAATTTAATTCAATTCAGGCAGATTCACTGGACGGTGAGCATATTGATTTCAAATTCTAAGAGTTGTCGTTTGAAAGGGAGCGACAGCTGGTTGAAGTAAAAACATGTTTCAACAGATTGCACCAGGTTGATTTTCGTTCGAGAACCTTCATAAAAAATAACTTCGTTAGATGAAACCTCTTCTTATATTTGAGATTTATTCAGAATAAGTTTGTTACGTCAACACCAAGAACTGCATTTGTCTACTAAGGTATTCATTTCTTCTGATAATTGTTGATCGTGTTTGGGACGCGGTAATTTCGGTGTCATGAGCAAATATAATATTGTGACATTCAGATAAGAATTCTGACAAGCCATTTATGAAGTTGATGAATAAAAGCGATCCTAGGACAGAGCCTTGAAGCACTCCCAGTATAACGTTTTTACGACTTGATTTTCCCCGCTATTAAACTGTGATTTTTTTTAGAATAAAGTGAATAGAATGGAATGAAAAACAATTTGAACAAGCACTTATTATTCTGTATTGTTCACATATAGAATATTCTGAATGAAAAAAATAAGTTAGGAAAAGCTCTTCACAATTTCGACCCTATTTAAACTTTTTCCGTCACAAGTTTCTGCACAAAAAAAATGTTCACTTCTTGTAGTATTCAGCTACAGCAAATGTATGAAAAAGAAACAATCGAAATGTGCAAGTGATGTTAAAATAAATGAATAGAATCCAGTGAAAAAAACTTTTACATTTTCCCAATATGTATTAGGTTGTCTCAAAAGTTTTGTCCATTTTATGAGTCTACGGTAGGTCGGTAGTCGGGCGGTTCGACGTGGGTGCTTTACTTATTCACTCATTCGACCGATGTGTGAGTCGGTGGTTCAAGCCGCAGGCGATCGATCTTAACTTGCTATCGTCCAATCCATGTTAGGAATCAAACGTTAAAAAGTGAGACCTTTAGTCGTTAGTTCGCACAAGTTTCGACTTCTAAGGGTTATCGTTCGTAGGAGTGCGATAGCTGGTTAACGGAAAAAACATATTTTTTTTGTCATTTGAATCAGAGCACTTTCGCCAACGTAACACGAGTTGATTCATTCCGTCAGCATCGAAATTGTGTGCTCGGGTTTCGATGAAGTCGACGAAGACAGTTTTTGCCTTGTCCTGATTGGCGAAGGTTCTACCAGACGGTGATTGATAAAACGTATGATGGGCGTTGTTGTAGAGCAGGATCGGTTCTGTTGACCAGTGTTAGCTGCTGCAATTTTCGGTATATTTCGTCGGTTTCCCCCACAATAGGGCTCTGACCACCACCATACAGTAACCATCAGAGCAGCAGAGTCCTATTCTGAGGAAATCGACGAAATGTACCAAAAACTTCGTCAGCAGCGGCTGGTACAACGCCCGTCCGCAAGTTTCTAAAATCACCGTTCGAAAATTAAACGAATTGAGTGTTCTGCCTCGCCCACCATGCTTCCCAGATCTCCTACCAACCGACTACCATCTTTTCAAGCACTTCGATTACTTTCTCGCCGGCAGAACCTTCGCCAATCAGGACCAGACAAAAACGGNAACTACATGTGTTTATTGTGAGTAACAAGAAGCTTATCTTTATGAAAATAGATTTGGAATGTTAATTCCAGTGGCGGCGCAGACAGTTACTTGATTGATATTAACGGACAAAATCATTGTGAGCCACTATTTTCGCTAAGTTTGATATTATTTGAAATAGCTTTACTTTATCGAATCAGAGTCAGTGAAGTAGAAATGGGGAAATATTTTTGAAAAAGAGCTTCATACAAACGCACTTAAAATTAAAAACTAATTTGTTTTATTGTTTGATCTAAGACATACTGTGAATAAGAGGCTTGCCGCGGATACAAAGTAGATAGATAATCTTGCGCGAGAAGATATTGAATATCTTACGCAATCAACTAGATCAGATTTTGTTTTCAAGGCATCTGTATGAAATCTTAATCTAGCTTAAACAATTAAATGAATATATTTTTCAATTAAGTGCATTCGTACCTAGTTTCAATTAAATCGGCGAAAATAGTTTTGAACTATTATTAAAATAACAATATTTTCAGTAAAATTTGACATTTCGTTATTCGGAAACGAAGCAAGTTAGGACAGACGTTCATATGAACGTTTTTTCATAAAGTATGACCACCACCTGAAATTGATGACATCATATTGTAACAGACGGCTCTCATGAATATTCTTTCTCTTTATAAACATATTTTTTACATTCAGTTAAAACGAGTGGGTAACATTCAGAAACATACAACCTTCTGTTCAGTCTCCTCCATATCTATTAAGCACGAATTATCTTTCATTTCACATAAAAAAGTCACACTACCAAAAATTTATAAACTAGTTGGTTGGGATGCAGGGGATCCGCCATTTTTCATCAAATTGTTTTTCGAAACGTTATCTCTGCTATCACAGAGAGTAGTATTACGACTCGTCATCGTTATGGCTGATGTTGATGCATCTCCTTTGCTAACTAGTGGTCCAGCGTCACATTCGTCATCGTTGTTGATGCAGAGAGAGGTTCCTTTGTGTTTGCTTGACTTGAATCTGGAAAATTACATAAACACGTGAAAGGTTTCACAGGCTATATGGAGAGTAATACTAAAAAGGGAACATGATCTACAGGGTAATTCAAATTCGTCCTCACAATTGGGATCTCCTAAATTACCAGAGATACGTCGAAGCTTAAATTGGGGCAAAGTTGCGTTTTTTGTGTTTAATAAAATACTGAACGGAAAAAACTGAATTTCGGAAATTTTTTCTTATTTTTTTCTAGCGTTATTTGACAACATAGCTCTAAACCAAAAAAAAATCATTGATACCACCGGCAGTCACCTGACCTTACAGTTTTGGATACTTTCTTGTTGGACACTCCAAAAAACAGAATGTGTTCTGCCCAAGCGCAAAGAGCCAATAATGGCAGCCTTCTGCAGCTGTCCGGTTAAGATTTCTGCCTTAGTGCGGCAAGCCGGTATGATTTTAAGATTCGAGAGTAGAGAGGGCATAATTTCATCAAGGACTCCAATATTCAGAACAACCATCTTGACAGAGTGATCTTGATGGCGTCCGCGGTGTTCGAAGAGAAAATCTCGATATTTTATACGTTTTTCCTCCTCTTTTCTGACGATATTCGTCTCGCCATAACATCTATGAACATTGATTCAGTTGTCTCTCCAAAAGTTATGTGTCCACCTACCTTATCGACGTGTTCCCTAGTCTTTGCAGAAGTTTCCACATACGGAACACCCCATTGTTTTGCCCGATCACTTGCTTCTTGAAAGGAAACTTTTCTTCTCTCATCTAAATCACTTTTATTGCCTACTAATAAAAAGGGAATGTTCTCATCATTTTTTACCCTAAGTATTTGTTCCCTGGAAAATAAAAACGAATGATGACAATATAATAAACAAACAAAACATTGTTAAATAATGATAAGATTATTGTCGATATTTTGATTTCACTTCTCGATTGACAATCAGTTCTCTGACTGTTGTAGATGAAGCGATGACTTTGATGTTGATAAAGTTTACATTCTATTATGAAAAAGCAGAAGCCTATAAATCTTAACACAATATTGATCTTGAATTGAAGGGGTTATATTTTTAGAAGTGATTAATTTTTGGGAAAGAAAGTTTTTGGCTTTCTTACTTCCTTCCTTTCTTTGGAAGATTCCCTCATCCCCTTTTTTTGTATCAAGATGGAGTAGTAGAAAGCTAAAAACTTTCTTTCCCAAAAATATTGATCTTGTTTACAAATTTTCACATTGAATTATACTGTACGACACTAATATTATTAGATCAAATGACCAACTTGTAAAGAACAGCAATGTAGCATTCAGTGGATTCCTTTCTATAGCAAAAAATCACTAATGTCTGACAGCGCCTACTTGGGTCAAACTCACGAACAGTCAGTAAAAAGTGTTATGTTGCCAATGATGGTACTGGGACGGGTTTTATAAAAATTGATATGTAGTTACGCTTGACCCGCGTGAAAACGGACATTTTCAAATCAGAAATTTTCAGTTAGTGAAAGATAACGTGAACCAGTATTAGTAAAATGACTGTTTTGCTTCCTACCTGAATTCTTGGGTGGCTTGAAAACTTTCATCTTCTGTTATGGAAAATATACACAGAAATCCTTCCCCACTTCTGAAATAATTATCTCTAATTGCTGCATAGTCTTCTTGACCAGCAGTATCTAAGATGTCAATTTGAACATCCTCACCATCAAGAAGTATTTTTTTCCTATATGAATCTGCTTTTGTTGGCTCATAGTCTTCCACAAACTCATCATACATGAACTGAAGAGTTAGAGCTGACTTTCCTACACCTCCACTACCAACCATTATAACTTTGTGTAAAGCTGGTTGTACTACCGGTTTTTTGGCCATGTTTTTGAACTAAAAAACTGAAAATATATACCTAAATAGGTGTGACTCTCGCACTCCCACACAGTCATTGACCCTAATAGTCTTTATTTTTTCAATATTCAGAATGAAACATTCTAAATTACCTGTGATTGAACGCTTAATAATTCACGCTCCAATAGCGGTCACTTTAACACTGTATATAATTTGATTCAGGCAAGAGTAAACTACTTTCACACAATAAACAATCAATTATTGACTCTGAACTCTGACTCACCGATTGTTTAGGTTTGGCTTTTGACGTTTGAAGGAACTTTTACACGCTACAAGTTGACAGTTGACTTGTTCGATGACATTTGATAGATGGTCGCATAAGAGCAATTCTCGATTTATGTGATTCAATCACAATATTTCCTTAAATTTTTAGAATTTTGTTTTTTTCTTCTACTACCATTTTTAATTTTGTAAAATTCTATGATTCTCAGAATTACAATCTAAAAATTCATTCATAAAATTCACGATATTTCCTTAAATTCATGGAATTTCAATCTTAATCACCCTAAGTTGGCAATATCTGTTCTCCTACCATTCCTAGGACTTCCAAATACAAGGATGAGGAGATAACAATCCACAATTCATCATTGTATTATTGTCTGAACAGGGATGCGCACCCTCAAAAGCGAGTAAAAAACACTAAAAACTATGCTAAATCTTTTATTTTCCAATTGTATTCGACAAAGAATTCGATCAAACACATATAAATACAATANTATTTTATTTTGATGTTTTGTGATTTGATATTATTGAATATTAAGTTCTTATTACAATACTGTATAATTTTGAGTAATTTTCGGTGTTAACAAAAAATAATAACTTTGCACCAAAAACTTTTGAAAATTAATTCACTTTTCAAAACAATTGACCGTGTAATTTGTAATATTACAATGTAATATTTTTAAAATGAACCGTCTTATACAGGATGCTGTCTATTTATCATTTTATCAAAAATTTGTTTTTCGTAGTCCCCATTTAAAAAAAAGGGTTAAAAAATAAAACTTCAATTAGATGGCCATAACTTAAAATAGGTGTATTTTTCAATGCTCAATAACTTTTCTAAATAACATTTCCCGATATTTTTCAAAATAAGAGTACTTTACTCCTGTCAAAAAATCAAATATTTGAAGGCTTCTCGTATATTACGTATGTTGTACTGTATTTTGTTGGTGCATGTTTAGTTTTAGGGGATGCACAAACTTTTATCAAGAATAACTTTTTGTCGAAAAACCCTTAATAAATAAGTTTCTCATATGGTGCATACTTTGGTGATGACATTTTATAAGTGAAAGAACGCTCTAAGAGTGTCTTCACATTGGGTCGCGGTGCTGCCGCGCGACTTCCATACGAAAAAGAGCCTCGCGGCAATCGCGCGACCTAATGTGGAGGTGTCACAAAGAACTGAGTGAAAAGTTTGATGGCAATGTGGAAGAAATTACCAGGAAACTTCATAATCCTAACTAGTGGAAATTGATAAAAGTTTTTTTATTCATTTCATTAGAGTGATCAAGAATACTTATACTTGATAATGAATAAAACCCAAAACCGGTCGTAAAAATTGAAATATTAATGGAAATCAGACATTTCACAACATAAAACAAGTCATCAATTACACAAATTATTTGACATTGAGTTTTCTCTCAAAGTAATAATAAGACATAGAGTTGCAATGCCTATACTAATACAATACGTGTATTTTGAAGCGGGTATCATACTATCCTTTTCTGTACAAATTATTGGTGAAGGGAGGTGGCGGGTAATGAGGGTTATGGAGAGTTTGTTTACATTTGAAGTAAGTTGGATCGATACTGTGAGCCATCCATATTTGATGAAGTCCCTCGAAAATATAGGATTCAGGGGAAAATCATGGGATTTAATAAATAGCTATTTGAATAATCGGCAACAATGTGTACAAATAGATAACACCCTGAGTAACAATAAAGCTATTCGTTATGGAGTTCCACAGGGCACTGTTTCAGGACCTATTCTTTTCATACTTTATATCAATGAAATGTTTAACCTACCCATTCCTGGATATATAACTGGCTTTGATGATGACACGGTTGTTTTTTTCAAAGATTGAGACTGGAACACTCTGAAAGAGAAAATCCAAAGTGCACTACCAGTTTTAACATAATAAAAAAACTCCGATTCTAACTGCGAGTTAGTATGCGTAGGAAACGCGAAGGAAGCGAAACTGTCCATTGTGAAATAAAGTAACACCCGTCAATAAAAGTATTTTGATTTGACTTATTGTTTTTATGTGTGATTTGTTAGTATGGAAAAGAAGCGAAAAATCGACAGTGAATGCAGAACGTTCCAAGG